CCCCCGCCCCCCCCCCCACCCTTCTGCTTATGCAGGTGATACACAAAATCATGCAGGACAAGGCCAGAGTTATTCTAATCACTCCCAACTGGCCACAACAAACATGGCTCTCCTATTTGTTACAGATGGTAGAAATGCGACTACTACTGCAGCACTACTTTCCCACCTCCTCAATGCAGGGCATGTTGTATCATTCATCCCAACCAAGTGGTTCTCCACGGCAAGGCTTGGCTGTTAATTACATAGATAGAGCACTTAGAGACTGTCTACTCTCATGAGGCGAAACACATCTTTGTGAATAGTCATTGGCCAAGTACTTTCAAAATGTACACCCAGATATGGTTCTGATTCTCCTCTTGGTGCCAGTCTCATGGCATGTCTCTTCACTCCATTCCTTTGCCAAAGGTCCTGGACTATCTCTTAAGCCTCCAAATATTTGGGTCTCTCCTACAGCTCCATAAAGGTGGACTTGGCTGTAATTACCTCACTACACTACAAAGTAGATGACACTTCCATCTAGAGATATGAAGGACTAGTCGACAGGATAGTTGACTAGTCACTCCCCCCCCCCCCCCCCCCGATTTTTCTCCCACAAAGGCGTGGGGAAGAGAGGGGTACTTCAAAGCAGCAGTGCCGCACAGAGCCCAGGGTCAGCTGCTCTGTGTGGCGCTACCACTTTGAATGCTGTGGGGAGCCTGATGTCAGGCTCCTCGTGGCATTTCAAAGCGGCACCGCTGTGTGTAGCCCATGATCATCTGGGCACGCCTCTGCTGACCCTGAGCTCCATGTGGTGCCCTACCCCCTATGAAAATCCTTCAGTTTCTGGCCAATAGAAGCTGAGAAATTTTGCAGAAGGCAGGGGCAGCGAATGAAGCCTCCTCACTCCCTCCTTGTGCTGGAGCAAAGCCATATGCATCAGCCCACCCAGCACACAGACAGTGATCCTGTCTCAGGTTGCTTCAGAGCTGCTGGCTGGGAGCCACCTAGATAAGCAACTCCCAGCCAGAGCCTGCATATGGCACCCCATCCCCTGCCCCCTACCCCTCCACTGAGGCAGCTGCCCAGCACACAGGCAGGGAATCTGCAGAGCTGCTGGCTGGGAACTGCCTAGGTAAGCGCCTCCCAGACAGAGCTGCCTCTGGTACCCCAACTCCTCTCTCCTCCACAATTCCCTTCCCCAGGCCACCACCCAAACCCTCAGTATTCCCTCTCCCCACCTCCTCCAGGTCACAACTCCCTCCCCGACCCTGCACCCCCTCCTACACCTCTTTCCCAGGCCAGAATTCTCTCCTGCAACCATACCCCCTCCTGGACCCTTCACCCCAAGCGCCTGCCCCAGATCATAACCCCCTCCTTCATCCAAACTCCCGCTCAGACCCCACACTCCCTCTTGCACCCCAGTCCTCTATCCCAAGCTACCCTCTACACCCACCTGCTGTCCCAGGCCCCAGACCCCTTTCACAGAAGTGTGGCTCTTGACCACTTACCAAAATCTTGGCATGGCCCCTCATTTAAAATTATTGCCCACCCTTGTTCTAAGACAATGGGATACAGAGGTGAAAGTAAGGGTGTGCGCACTGGTGCACAGCTCTGCAAGAGCTGGCTGTACTACTTCAAGAGCTGGTAGGGACCAAGGTTGCAATGGGACAGTACCTGTAAGAAATGTAAGTTACATTCACGCTTGATGGGATATATCCCAAAACAGAGTTTTGAGAAATAATTTTTCAGGGGATATTGATTATCATATTATTTATCTTGTCTTCTTCTAGCCAGAAAGATTGTAACCTGGGATAGTCCCAAAACATCACCAGCAGCTGTTACATTTTGGCAAGGCCCATGCATGCACAGTGTGAAAGAACTGCATGAGTTTTAGAAACCAGAGCTAGTTAGAAGCTCTGTTTTATGTCTCATCTAAAATATTTATGTAGAAAAATGAATAGTTTAAGCAAAGAATGGAACTACAATAGGGAACAAATACAGTGGAGATATTGTGACTTGACAAACTAGTGAGAAAAGACAAGTGGGAAAACATCTGTGTATAGAAGGAGAGTGCTGGTAAACTATGAAACTATGTTATTATAAACAAACACACAAATAAATAAAAAAGAACTGTTGGTTCCAGCCGGGTGTTGTTTTCCTTTGTACTGACTTGACAGTTCATTTTTGAATAACATTTTCAAAAAAGCTACAAGGAAACTATGTATTTCCAAAAAAATACTCATTGTTGTTTTTTGTTTCTTATTCAAGGCTGGGTTAACAACTTACTTTCATCCTGGAATAAATCTGAAGAAAATACATTACTACAGCATCAAACTCTATGAACAATTAGAGGAGGAGACTGGGCAGGTGAAAGTCTTCACATTAAAAATATTAATTTAGATCAATATTATTCATGTTAGAAAAACTATGGGTAGGTTTAGAATGGACACATTGTACATGTGTGGTAGCTCATACCACAAGGAGTCACTTTATCTAAATGTAGCTTGCAATCTGTATGTCTATCCTATATTCATTTTCTAGTATTTAACTCCAGCATATTGTATTTAGATGTTCCCCCACATTCAAAATTAAAACACTTTTTATAACACAGAAATCAAACACGCAAAGAGACTTCAGTATAAGTTTCCATAGGAGTTAAAACAGCATTCAGGAATGAGCAATGGTTTTAATAAAATAGTTTGATTCTATCCCTACCTGGAAAGATTGTTGCAGTTCATCATATATGTTCCAGAGCTGTGCTTTTCCTTGGTGACTAAATCACTTTCTCTAACCACAGTTTTCCCTCCTTCATGTTTGACACTGCAACGGAAACAGCGATTCTCACTTTGCTAATCTGCCAGTTTGATAATTCTCGCAAAAAAAAAAAAAAAAAAAAAAAAACCTGTGGCTTCACTCTGCTTTTCAGCAAGTTTAAAGATGTTAGCAAAAAGCCATAGTTAATTCTGCCATTACTAGACCTAATGTAGTATATGCACTGTTACTGCAAGGTATTAAAATACAAATAGTTAATTACGGCTTTACATCATAACGCACATGATTAACTAAAAATTAATTGCAATTAATCACAGTTTTAATCTCACTATTAAACAATAATAGACTATCAAATGAAATTTATTACATTTTTGGGATCTTTTTCTATATTTTGAAATATATTGATTTAATTTACAACACAATACAAAGTGTAAATTGTTCACTTTATATTATTTTTATTACAAATATTTGCACTGTAAAAATGAAAAAAAGAAATAAGGTCACCTGCTATGAGTACTATAATGCACTCTTTTTATCATGAAAGTGAAACTTACAAATGTAGAATTTTTTTTGTTATATAATTACGCTTAAAAATAAAACAATGTAAAATTTTAGCACCAACAAGTCCACTCAGTTCTACTTCTTGTTCAGCCAGTCACTAAAACAAAGAAGTTTACAGGCGATAATGCTGCCCACTTCTTATTTACACTGTCACTTTGACAGTGAGAACAGGTACGTTTTTTGCTTGCATTGCAAGTATATGTGCCAGACATGCAAAACAATTGTATGCATTTTCATGCTTTGGCCACCATTCCAAAGGACATGCTTCCTGCTGCTGATACTTGATAAAAATAATGTGTTAATTAAATTTGTGGCCGAACTCCTCGGGTGAGAATTGTATGTCTCGTCTTCTGTTTTACCCATATTCTGCCATCTATTTCATGTAATAGCATTCTCAGATGGTGACATGGCACATTCTCTTTGTTTTAAGAACACTTTCCTTGCAGATATGACAAAATGTGAAGTAGGTACCAATGTGACATTTCTAAAGATAGTTACTGCACTTAATCCAAGGTTTAAGAATCTGAAGTGCCTTCCAAAATCCAAGAGGGATGAGAGGAGGAGCATTCTTTCAGAAGTCTTAAAAGAACAACACTCCAATATGAAAACTTTAAAACCTGAACCACTAAAAATGAAAATTTACTTTCTGCATCTTCTAATTGAGATGATGAAAATAAACATGTCAGTCCATACTGCTTTGGATTATTACTAAGCAGAATCCATCATCAGCATGGACACATGACCTCTGGAATGGTGGTTGAAGCATGAAAAGATATATGAATCTTCAGTGCATCAGACACATAATATCTTGTGATACTGGCTGCAACCGTGCCATGGAAACACTTGTCCTCATTTTCAGATGACACTGTAAACAAGAAAAAAACATAAAAAAATATTTAGACAGGCGGTATTCTATTATTGTTTCACAGTGCATTTTTAAAATCATTTGACAGGCACAGTTTGAACTACACTTAGCAAAATAAAAGATCAAAAGCATGGTTTGGCATGCAGCAGACTTTTTATTTCAGTTTGATTATTCTCTAATCTTGCAAAAATTGGTAAAAGATAGTGAGCCCTTTCATTTATAAGGCCTTATCATTCACCCATAACCCATGCAAAGTGAGGGTCCTTCACACATGAATCATACCTCTTATGCACTGAATGAAGAATCAATCAATAGCACTCACCCACCTTGCCCTGGGAGGCACTCCAGTTGATATTCCATGATATTCCATGGGAGGCACTCAGTTGATATAGGAATCAGCAATATATGGAGGAGTGGACAGGTTGAGTTTGGGGTGAAGGGACATGCACTGTGCTTCGACTGGTCCCTCAAAGATTCTTCATGGAAGCTAATAATCTCTTGTGGGAAGATTCCTCTGTCTCTCACTAGTTCAGTAATCATTGGTGCATCTCTAATGGAGCCTTGCTGCAGCAGAGTGGAGAGAACTTCCAGGAATAGTTATTTCAGGGTCACAGAATCTCCATGTGGATTTCCGTGGCCTCCCAGCAGTTCCCCAGCCTGTTTGCAAAGGGGCTAGCTCCATTTCCTAACAGACCAATTACTAGAAATCTTTGTAAGGAGGGGTGGGGGTGATTGGGCCTGGTCAAAGTCACTAATGTGAACAGGCACTGTCTAACGGGATGTAATTACTTTTACTCCATTAAAATATCCACTTTTTCAGTAAATATGCGTGGTCAGTTAACTTCTTAACATTTATCTTGTAATATCTTCAGTGATTATAATGCTGATTCTTATCCCTTTTGACCCAAGCAGATAGGGCCCTGTGGGTTGGTTTTGTTAAGAGAAGAAATAGATGATGGAGTCAGGAAACTTTATACACTGTTAGCAAATAAAGAGGACTATATCAAAGTCCTGTGTCTTTGAACATAGCAAACCATCTGCAGGAGACAGTTTCTCTGCTCAGTTCTCACCAGGCCTCTTTCAACAAGCATTCTGCAAAAAACCAAACTAAAACAAAACTAAAACCTACCTATGCCTGGGCTTTTCACAGGATGTTCCCATAACTTATCAAGCAGTGCCTTGTTCTTCCTTTCTGCCTTTTCTGTGGTCTTTCTAGTTTCTCTACCAGAAATGCAAACCTTCACAAAACAATAGCCAGTGAAACCCCTTCACCCACATTTGCCTTGCACACACCATTAATTTTGTTGGTGACACGTGCCTGTGTTTGGAGTGAAGGCTGCTATAGTTTCATAAAAGAGCATAATGGCTTCTTTACAACTTTCTCAAATGAAGGAGTGGTTACATTCCTGGTTTGAGAGAAGTTTACCTCAACATGTAATACTGATATCCAGATGATATTTATATAAGATACTAAACATTTACTTTTAAATTTATCTAATCTGTTATTGAAAATGTATAAATAAGGGAGATACCACCCACAAAGCTTTAGCCCAATCTTAAAGGTTCAAAATTAATAGAGAATAATGAAATACAATATAGAGGATCCATTTTTACATTTTACAACTTATTTTGAGGATAGTGTATATCTGAGTAATGTGTTCTCTCAGTTTAGGCTTTTATGTGGTAACACATTCTTCTTTACTCCTCCTCTGCCCCAATTCTACATATGTAGCCTGATCCTTCAATGAGATGTAGGATTTGATCCTGTGTTGACTTAAGGGAATGGCCAAATTTCCATTGGCTACATCGGTGTAGGATCAGGCAGTTTGACAGGGTTCAAACAAAGACCTAATGATAACTCAGTCTCTCATTTTTGTTATCCATCTTTTAGGCTGTGGGATTTCACCAGCCAGGCAGCATCAGACTTGCTTCCACTCCTACAAGAGTAGATGAATTCAAATACCAAATGACGCGAACTGGTTGGCATCCAACAGAACAGTATCTTATTGGGCCTGAGAGAGTACAAGAGTTGTTCCCCATATTGAACATGGAGAAGGTAAAAAATAACGTTTTGTGGAAAAAACTTTCCTTGAGGTTAAATCTTGGACTTTCAAAGATATACTGTAAATCCAAGGCCTGATTTTCTTGTGAACTAAGACCCTGTGTGAACTAAGATCAGCTAACTCCCTGTGTGATTCTATTCAGACCACATTAATAGGATCTTCTATGGGAGTTTCTATTGCATGGGAGAATACATTCAGGAAGAAAGAGAAACACTAGGGTTGCCAGGTATCCGGTTTTGAATGGGACAGTCCAGTATTTGAGCTTTCTGTTCGGGAAACAAATTGAGAAAATATGAGAAAATATAAATGTCCGGTATTTTCTAAATAAGATGTAATGTAGATTGTGATGTAATGTAAAGTGTGTCTGGTATTTTTGTTGAAACCATCTGGCAACCCTAAGAAACACAGAGCCTGCTCATGAGATAACCAAGAGTATTCCAAGAGAAAACTCAGCAAAGTCAAATATAGTTAAGATTGGTGTGCTGTTTTTATTCTAAACCCCCTCATTTAGTGCACTTGCAGAATTTGATTTTCACTTTTTAATATAATTTTTGTGGGCAATATGAATATTTATTTTAAGCATCTTTTTGTTTTTAACAATGTAAATGTTCACAGTTACATGAAATTGGAAGGCATCAAGCAGTTGGGGGCATCTGACAGTTGGAAGTGTCAGACAGCAGACACTGAGGGTATGTCTAGAGTAGACTGCATACCTCTGCCGGCAGAGGCATGTAAATTAGACATACCAACATAGTAAATGAAGTGGGGATTTAAATAACTCCCACTGCATTAGAATAAAAATGGCCACCACGTTGTGCCGGCTCAGCTGTTTGTTGGCACAAACCGGCAGTCAAGATGGGGATTGGTCGACAAGGAAAGCCTTTGCTGACCGATCCTGTAAATCTCGTTTCATGAGACATAAGGGATCAGTTGGCAAAGGCTTTCCTTGTCGATCAATCCCCGTCTTGACTGCCGGTTTGTGCCAGTTTTAGTCTAACGAAGCAGGGGATATTTAAATCCCTGCTTCACTGACTATGTCGGTATGTCTAATTTACATGCCTCTGTTGGCAGAGGCATGTAGTCTAGACATACCCTGAGATTTAAAAAGTTACAGCTATATAACTGTTAAAACACGAATTGTCAACATTATATGCCAAAATACATAAAATAAGTATCTCAAATCAATCTTTAATAAGTTCTCAAGCAACATTTCTCTTTCTTTGCTGTCTATACATTTCTGTTGGACATATGATTTCATTGGTTTGTATATATATGGTGAAATCAATATTTGCTGACATTTAATGATAAAACATATCTAATCCTCCCAAACCTACTAATAATGAAGGAGTGCTGTAATGGAGTAGGGTTTAAGATTGATACTGGAGTCCAAGAGATAGAATGAAAGCACAGGGCTTCTGCATGGATAGCTCCCTTCAGGTACCTTGGAATTTGGACAGATCCATTGGACTTGTGAGAAAGAACTGCAGTCCATCTGTAGAAGCAAAATAATTTTTCTAATGGAACGATTCACAGGGAACTCCATCTGGTGAACTTTGCAAAGATTTCATCCCATTAGCTTCCTTCCTGCTGGTTTTCCCATGTGAGGGGATTATCAGGACCATTATTTTAATTTTTTATAGGTAGTAAATGTTTTGACACCTATTATAGATTTTCATGGAATGAGAAATGATCGTACTCATTTAAAAATGTGCAAATATCCTAAACCTTCTGAATGTTACTACTTATGTGGAATTGTCTGAAACCCTTTATGAGATTTTTGGAAGACATTTGACATTCTGTTCATTTGGGTTTCTTTCTGAAATCTTCTTCCTTGGCTGCTATCTCTATGATCACAGACAGATTCTGATGCTGGAGACTCTCACTTCCATAGGACAATTACAGAGTTAGCCAGTGAAGTCTTGATAATATAATATGGTTTTAAAATTTGTTATCAGCTATCTCAAATAATTCAGTCTAATATGCAATGAAGGAAGCACATTTAATTTGACTTGATCTTGTGTGATCCACTTAGGTTTTAGTTGGCCTGTATAACCCCGGAGATGGCCACATTGATCCCTATTCTCTCACTATGGCCTTGGCTGCAGGAGCCAGAAAATATGGTGCCCTGTTAAATTACCCTGTCCAAGTGACAAATCTGAGCCCTAGATCAGATGGGACATGGGAAGTTGAAACTCCGCATGGAATAATTAGAACAAACAGAGTTGTGAATACAGCAGGTAAGCATTAAAAGATACTTTCGTACCTTTTAAAGTTTAAAAAATAACTGTTACAAGCTGAAGTAACTCACGGTACATCTACACTTGCACTCTAGTTCGAACTAGGGATGCAAATATAGGTGACCAAAATTGCTAATGAAGCAGGGATTTAAATATCCTGCACTTCATTAGCATGATCTCACTGGTGTGTTACTCCGCTCAACAGCTGTTCCAAAAGTAAAAGTGCTCACCGGGATGTGTTAGTTCGAACCAAACCCCTTGGTTTGAACTAACGTTACTCCACTCTGCTCAAAAGCTGTTCCGAAAGTGAAAGTGCATGCTAGGACACGTTAATTCAAACCAATCCCCTTGGTTCGAACTAATGTTACTCCTCATTTTTTGAGGAGTAACGTTAGTTCGAAGCAAGGGATTTGGTATGAACTAACGCATCCTGGCGCGCACTTTCACTTTTAGAACAGCTGTTGAGCGGAGTAACGTACCGGCGAGATCATGCTAATGAAGCGCAGGATATTTAAATCCCCGCTTCATTAGCAATTTCGGTCGTCTACATTTGCATCCCTAGTTTGAACTTGGGTGCAAGTGTAGACGTGCCCTCAGACTAAGCAGAACTGCTCCACTATTTATCTTGTAGGAACATGTGCAATTTGTTTTCTGGTAACTATGTAGTTCCTGGTGAACCCAGGTAGCTCATGATTTGGTATCACACTATTCTGATTTTTTTCATGAGCTTTTGCTTAACAATGATATTGTGGAAACTGAGTATTTAGTGGAAGTACCTTTCAATTATCCCTGATTAGATGTTATTGTTATTTATTATTTGTACTACACAACAAAAATATTAATAACATTTCTTCTCTCTCTCTCTCTCTCTCTCTCTCTCTCTCTCTCGTTTGTCTCCAACAAAATATTAAGGGCCAGACTATCTCATTAGCCTTTTAATAGGTGATCTGGTGGTCTCATTTGGGGTGGGTGTGAAAGATAGAATGCTGCCTTTGTGTATTGTCCTCTCTCCTTAAAATTACGGAGCCCCACATGGGTTCTCCCTGGGAAACAAGCTGGAATGAACAGATAGGAGTGGGGCAGGGAGTGAAAAGCTAGCTGCTCTCCATTATATTTTTCTACAGAGACCTGTTGAAATGCAGCAAATAAGATAATACAGTGTACTGACACTTCCAGTTTTATCTTACTCTTTGTTGCCCTCAGATATGAAACTACACCCCCATATTCCTGAGGGGGAGGATTTTTACTGTTTATTTGACTGATAGGTTAAACATCCCCTTTTTAACAATATATTTTTATGTTCCATAAATATTAAGTTAAAATTATTTGTATTTATTTTCCTCTGTATGTAACTTTTAACTTTTGTTGTATTAAATACAAGATTTACAGGCAGTCCCCGGGTTACGTACAAGATAGGGACTGTAGGTTTGTTCTTAAGTTGAATCTGTATGTAAGTCGGAACTGGCGTCAGCCGCTGCTGAAACTGATCAGTTTCAACCATGGATGAATCTGGATGCCAGTTCTGACTTACATACAGATTCAACTTAAGAACAAACCTACAGTCCCTATCTTGTACGTAACCCAGGGACTGCCTGTACT